CTCCCACTCGGCTTGCTTCACCTGGCTCCTCTCGCCTTGCTCCTGCCGCCTCCAGCTTCCCCTGCTGCAGCAGCAGTGATAACACAGACACCTGGATGCAGGTTCTCGAAAGATTTCAAGATGCGGCTGCACAGTGTCAAACTCCCATGTTTTTATTGTTGTTAGGGGCTGCGTCGAGCCAGGTCAGACTCACAATGACCGGGTGTGCAACAATGAACACCACCTGGTCGTGTGTCAACGGCACAGTTGTTCTTATGTATGAGCCCATCAAATCACATCACATCACATCCTCCTTGACAGAGCCTATTATGGACGTTGAGCAACACGTACCTCTAGTGTTGGCATGCCCTGCCCAGAGCCTGGAACCTCAGCAGACTACTTCTCGCTGCTGCGCATCCTACGGCCCTGGGTCCCTCAGGAATTCTAAGACCTTGGCTCGAGGCTGAGCTTAGGAGAGTTGGCCTTTGTCTTAGGTCTCCTCCGGCCCCTCTCCCACTCTTCATCCCATCTCGTTTAAGTTTGGGATGAGGCTGAACAGCTTAATAAATACCATATTGATTTCCCCCCCTTTTTTCTTAAAGCATCATTTGTATATGAGCATGTCCGTGGATGGACAATGCAGTGATTTAAAAAAAGATATTAATATCTTTCTTGGAATTACATATATTGATTGGTGTCCTTAAAAATAACACCTTATATTCAGTTTCAAATTGTCCTTTTATGAATATTGTTGGCTATGAATCATTTGTAGAATTATACGTGGGCCAGGAGAGAGCAGTGGGCTAGGAACCAGGAGATAGTAACCTAGCTTTCATTGGGACACTGAGGGTGACCTTTCCCAAATAACATCTCGTGAAACCATCTGTCTCACTTTTTAACTGGACCACAGTATGCCTGCTGTCCCCACAACTTTCCTGTTAGTGAACTGAAATCAAACAACACCTATTTTGAAGGTTCACGTTTCTTTGGCACAATAGGGAGATGATTGCTATACGCTTTAGGTAAATCAATCTACAATAAAGGAATAGCCTCAAAGTGCAAAATTAGAACATTCAGTTAAAATACACAGCAAATCAGAAAACTCAAAACAAAGATGGGCACTGTGTGTTACCTCAGAAAATTATTTCAGAGCCAGCTAAAGAATTCAAAAGAAAAAAAATCACAGCTGAAAATAGCACACTAAGTTTTTTCTCTTTCATCAAAATTTTCTACCTCTGTGTTCATTATAGTCAGTCACAAAAATAACGTCAGCTCTTAAAACTCATTCATGAATTCTGTGATAAATGAGTAGATCTTTTAAACTACATTTTTCCTAATTTTTAAGTATTATTATTTTCCAGTACCGAAAGCATAGAAATAGTGAAAGCAAAAAAGAAAATAGACTTAGTTTATTATTATTATTTTAATTCTAAACATTTAAAAAAAGATCTGTCAGGTAAAAATTTACATAGCAAGTTAAATTCCCACTTAGCATTTTTAATGAACTGTGCTCATGATATTGGTTACATTTTGCCAATAGTCTCACTATTTCCTTTCTCTTTATTCTATTTCTCTTAACCTAGCTTCCTTCCCCTTTTCTTTATCTTTGTTTTAGAGGAAATGTTAACTATTTATTCTCATAAAGTTGATTACATGAGAGTACAGTATTCACAATTGATATGGTTTACCTTCTATAAACCAGTCCATTGCTTGGCGAAAAGACCACCATCAGTGACTTCAGTTCCAAGCTCAAGTTGCATTCTTAGAGTTGCGTTTCGTCACTCTTGGTGTAGCAAGTCTGATCACTTTCATGAATTGGAGTTTTGTTCTCCGTTAATTCTCCCCTCCTGTCCGTGATCTGCTCAGAATAATTGGTGGGAGAAGCTGAGTACCATCTAGGCCTTCTGGTGCCCATTTAGATCAGGACATGGTGTATGTGGGCTCGTAGTCTTGTGGACTCGTTGATTCTTTGAGTTTGTGGTAGTCACCTGTCTTATTGGGGTTATGTTCACCTTCTCCTTTTTTCCCATCATCAATTTAGTCTCTCTCTTTCTTTCTCCCTCTCTCTCTCTCTTTTTCCCCATCCTCTCAAGGCACCAACTTCTAACCTTGCTGTTTCTTTATACGATTACTCTGTTTCTATTTCATTTATGTGGCTCTCATCTTTTCTAACTCCCTTTTCTGGTAACTGTGGACTTGCTTTGTGGCTTCTTTCCAAAATGTTCAAGTTGTAGGCACAAGCTATAGAACTTTTTTTTTTAAGCAAAAGGGAAGAAATTTATTGGAGCCTATACAGGAAACCCTAGAGGGGCCCAGCATCCCCTACTGTATAGGCATGCCCAGCAAAGGGTCACACCATTCACTGCACCCCCCTGTCCCAGAGGGACTCCCCTTGAGCAAGCCCCAAAGCCCCAGGACTGGCTGGGGGTGGGGGAGGGGGGTCAAACTATAGATTTTAACCCTTCTTTTTTTTATGTTTACATCTACGTGGATTGCTAGAAGTCCTTTTCTGAGCACTATTTTGTATTTTACTCTCATTTGACTCTAGGAATTGTTAAAATTTCATATGTAGTTTCTTTTATTACTGAATAATTTTTAAGTAAGGTGTTGTTTAGTCTCCAGATATTTAATGATGTTTCCTTTGTTCTTTCTGCTATGATTTTAAAAACTCTTTGTGTGTGTGAATTAAGTGAGCTTTTACAGGTCAGATCATCTCTTCTGTATCCAACAAAGCATCAGACCTCCAATGGAAATCTAGTTGTACTTGCTTTGTGACCTAATATATGGTCTGTCCTGAGAATGTGTGCTGTGCTGCTGTTGAGTGGTATGTTCTATACATGTCTACGATGTTGGATGGATGGATTGTGTTGTTTAGATCTTTTACATCGTTGTTAAGTTTCTTTTTGTGTTGTTCTATCCATCATTGAAAGTGGTGTTTTTAATTCTCTTATCACAGTGGAACTTTGTATTTCTCTTTTCAATTCTGTTCGAGTTTGTCATCTATTTTTGGAGCTCAGTCATTGAGCGCTCTTAGTAGATTGACCCTTTAATCATTTTGTAATGCCCTTCTTTATCGCTAACAAAAACTTAATGTGTATCCTATCAGAGTTATTATTTCAACTCTTGGTATCTTTTGGTCACTGTTCACGTGAAATATTTTTTTCCAGCTTTTGATATTAACTGAGAAATGTCTTTGTGTTTTTGTCTCCCGTGGACAACAAATTGATAAGGTTTTCAGTTCTGCCTTGTTTGGGTTTGGCTTTAATTTGTCCGGCTACTCTCCATCTCTTGGCTGATGTATTTAAGCCATATATATTCTATGTAATTATTAATTGGTATGCATTCACTGCTGTCAATTTATTATGCTCTTTATTGTGAAGTTAACAGTTTGCCTTATGCAAGAATACTGATCCTTCTTACCCTGTCTCCTGGATGCCCAAATCCAGTTCTGTTCCTTAAATACACATTGTGCTACATCTACCTGCATTTTGTTTTACACAATTAAGGAAATTAAATTGTCTTCTACTAGACCTGAGTGTTCAGTTTCAGAGTTTGCACTCAGAGTCTAGAGGCTTTCCAAAGCAATGACTGTTTCTGCTTGCAGCTGAGCTCTGTGCAGGCTGGACAGTCTGCGATGCCTGGTTTGGAGAGAGACAAATGCCATTTCACCGTTTCCATTTGTCCGCTATTCTTTAGATACCATTACCTTTAATAGGACTCACACACTGCCGTTCAACCAAACCCACAACTCCCATGCAAAATTGTTTAAAACATCCTTGCCTGAACACTCTGAGTTCACGCCTTCCTAAGGTAAACCAGAATGTGAGCTCCTGCTTCGGTGCTGCTAAAATGCATGCCCGCACCCGTCACACATGCATACAAAATAGTTATCTTCCCAGACTTCATAGTGCCAGGTTATTACCAAACGACCCTGTCTGTACTCTGTGCTATCACATGAAACAGAATGGGGCCATTCCATGTATCATTCTCTGTTTACAGTTCATTCAGTTCTCATATGTGGGATATATTTTTAAACTCTACTTGACCTTAAGCGATAAGCTAGACAAGTGTGTCTGTTGTGACCCCTAATGTCCCAGTGGTAGTTATTGTGTGCCCCTGTCACTCGTCTTTCCACAAGACACCTCTGGCCACAAGTTCCAGCATTTTCTCACCACAGCTAGAGTGTAGTGAGATAAAAAGAAAAGAAACTGAGTGGAAGGAAGAGAGAAAAGAAAATTATTTCAACAAAAGTGGGGGGTTTGAACACACACAGAGGCACTTCAGACAGTGGGCTTGGTGATCTGTTTCCAAAAGAACTCAATTTTAACAACCAGATGAAGGACAGCTCTACTCTGTGCCAGGGGGTCACCATGAGCCCAACTGACCGGATGGCCACGAACAACCTAACCCACTACCATCATAGATGGGCTATCTAGCAATTGGCTGCGCTGCATCTCAGGAGATTTGCCTTTGTCATTTTACTGCTGTTTTTCTCTGTATTAAAATGGAGACTTTGGAAATGATACAAATCAGAAATCGTATCGGTCACACTATTTGCATCTGTGTACCTGTGTTTAGTTTGCACTGTACTGTTTGTGCATGAAAGGAAATTGACTTCAGAATAGCAAAGAGTCTTCTTGATTTTGATTTTTATAAAATAATCTGGAGGGACAATTTTTAAATGTTATGGTACTTAAATGCACTTGTTCAGATGGGTTTTGCTTAATGATGATAGAAGCTAATAACATTGAAGGATATTATGCCAATTTCTTTTTTCCTTCTCTTTCAAGTATTGTTTAAATGACATTTGCAGTCATGAGAATTATGCCTTCAGATTGTAATGCCAATGCATTTTAAAAAGTGGACATTGAATGTATATCTAAGTACACATAAATATAATATGTCACATATATATTGCATATGTATAGTTGAGTGTCCACTGGAAAGGTCAAAGGTAGTCATTTGTATTTATAATTTAGTTAGTTTATACATTGTTAAACTGATTTCTTTCTCATTTGTAGATCTTTAAACAAGCAACTATGAAAGCTTTGAGGAGAAAATCTATTTTGCTAACAGGCTATTTGGAGTACCTGGTCAAGCATCACTCTAGCAAAGATAAAGCAGAAAGCAAGAAACCGTTTGTAAATATAATAACTCCATCTCATGTAGAAGACCGGGGCTGTCAGCTAACACTCACATTTTCTGCTCCAATGAAATATGTTTTCAAAGAATTAGGAAAAAGAGGAGTGGTTGTAAGTACACATTTTGTTTTGCTACCTGCTCTTCTTGATGGGCTACAAGTTCAGCAGCACAAAATTTGAATTCTTTCGTTTATTCAATGTCCCATATTATTTTATACCAATCAGCAATCAGTGAGTATACATGAAGAGTCAACTAAGTGGTTACACCTTGGGCTACTATCCTCAGAGTCAGCAGTTTGAAACCACCAGCTGTGCCAAAGGAGAAAGTTGAGGTTGTCTACTCCCATAGAGATTCACAGTCTCAGAAACACATAGGGGCATTCCTATCCAGTCTTGCGTGGTAGCTGGAAGCTGGAAGCACCTTGATGGCGGTGAGGTTGTGTTTGAAGTACTCCAATTCACAGCTGCCCTATAGGGGGTGCTATCGGGTCGTCATGAATCAGAAGCAACTCAATAGCTGTGGATTTTTGAAATATTCAACGTGGTACTGGTAGACTGGCACCCAGATCAGTCACTTCAAATAAAAGGAACATCATGAATTTAGGTTACAGGAAACAGATTTAGGTAAAATTCAATGCTTTCATAACATTTTAGGCAGAAATAAACCCCATTTAACTACTATCAATAGGTACATAACTTTCATTAATAAAATTCTGATATATATTGACTAATAGAATTAAACAATTTAGTGGAGGATAAAAATATCAGTCTTATTTACTTGTTTTATTGAATGAAGTTATTATTAGACTTGCCCCTTTATAAAAAAAAAACACAATGATCTAAGCCAGTGATTCTCAACCTTCCTAATGCTGTGACCCTTTAATATAGTTCTTCATGTCATGGTGACACCCAACCATAAAATGATTTTCATTGCTACTTCATAACTGTAATTTTGCTACTGTTATGAATCAGGTGACCCCTGTGAAAGGGTTGTTTGACCCCCAAAAGGGTTGCGATCCACAGGTTGAGAACTGCTGATCTAAGCAATGGTAATAATATATAAGATATAGATACATAGTTATACCAAATCTAAACATATATATATTTAATATAAATAAAATTTAATCCTTGGGCTCGGGTCATTTTCTTATTCTTGTTGAGAGAACTAATAAATGTTAGCTGATAAATTAATGTATTACAATTTAGAAACTATTTCCCTCATATTATCATCTAATCTTTCAGGAGTGGCTACCTAGAATCAGGAGACACATGTCTGAATATTAGGATTCAAATGAAGCTATTTCATATCCAACTGTGTGTTCTTAGGAAAGTTCCTTAACATCTTCTAGCTTGGGATTTCTCATTTGTATTTTGGGCTTATATATACTTAAGTCAAAGAGATGTTGTGATAATTAAATGGAACATCACATATAAATCATGTTCTATATTGCCTATTCTGGTGTAGGTGCTCTTAAAGATAACCAGAGGAGATCTTCAGGCTAGAATACATTCTCTGGTCCTTCTTCTGGGTCCTTTAAAGAATATAACCCATTCTTTAAAAAGGATATTAGGGGCATACACATGAATATATAGTTTTGATAGAAGATAGTTCTACATGTCTCTTTATCTGTGCTGCAAAAATATCCATGAATGTGGTGCAGCATACAGAGAACAAAGTTATGAAAACTTAGACATAACCAATCACATTGAGGGAAGGATAAGTTATAGAGCCTAGAAACTCAGGACCATAGCCTTAGGAGTGACCATGGCCAACTGGCATAGTCCACAAAGACAATGCTCTACACTTAGATTCTAAATGCTACTTTGGGCAGGAGTAACTGGAGTCTTAAAAGCTATGAGCGATGATCTAAGGTGAATCTATTGTCTCTAAATGTTTGGAGGGAAGAAGAGTGAAGTAAACTGAAGAGATATGGAAATAATCAGTTCAGTGGCCTAATAGACCACACAAACCATGACTCTGACACTAGAAGAATTAGATGGTGCCCAGCTACCATTTCACAATAAAAGTTATATATAAAATTAGGAGTTAGAGAATTACATGCAACAATAATTAGCTAAAACTCGAACAATCTCAATCTCTTCATTCATTTAGATTTCTCCAAGGATTTAAGTCTGTAACAGGCTTCCTACATATATATTTTGCATGTGATCTTTGGGTGCTTAATGATAAGGAAAGTACTTTGAAAATATATAGTACCAACGTAATTTTTTTCTCATTGCCATCGAGTTGGTGCTGACTCAGTGACCTTGTAGGACAGGCCAGAACTGCCTCTGTAAGTTTCAAGAGACACTAACTGTTTATGGGAGTAGAAACCCTATTTTTCTCCCGTTGAGCGGCTGGTGGATTTGAACTGTTGACAGCCCAATGCATAATCACTTTGCCACCAGGACACCCACAAATCCATTCATATTTTCATTATTAGCAAGAATAACTTTTCAAAACCTATATGTTCTACTTAACATGTTAACTGTTTTTCCTTATATATTAAGTTTAATGGAAATCAACACCAAACGTTAATTTGATCTTGGATGTCTATTTTCTCTGTACGATAGTGCTAACATCACCGTGTCTCTATTCCTCTTCCCCCTCTGCAGTGTGACAAGCGAGAACCAAATGGCATTCGAGTGGCTCCCGTCCCTCTCTACAATTCTTTCCATGATGTTTACAAGTTTGTCAATTTGCTCTTTTCTGTCCTTGACCCTGTAGAACCACAAAACTAGTTGTGTTTTCTAGGAAATTTAATGAAATCACACTGAAAGCGGCTGAGATTTTTTAAAATTACTCTTCAACTTTTAATGAATGGGAATGATTTCTATTTGATTGCACTGAGGATGACTTACATAATTCACAGAAAAATCCAACATCATTTTCAGAATCGATGCCGCTAAGTAGTCCTTAAGTGTGTCCAACTGCTCCACCCATTCTTGGGTCCTAATCCCTACTTTGCAGGGTGTTCCTTTCTTTGATGTTCCTATCATCTCTTTTTGTTTTAGTTTGGTTTTTTTAAGGAGCTTTCTCTAGTGCAAGGGTTTAAATATTCATCTGCCTCCAAAGCAGTAAAATAAATAACCTCAAGGCTTTTATGATTAAGGATTTAAAGATTAGAAAATAAAAGTCTCATCTCCTACATCTTTATTCTGAATGTGCGGTCACAGTGTCTGCTACACTGTCGCAAAGTTCAACTCAGTTCTATTGCACTTATTCAGTTTTCAGTTGTTGATGCCACAACCAGTACTTCTGAATTGGCAAAACAGTCTACATATATACATAAACAGCAAGAAAGAGTGAATATGAAATAATTATTGCTGCAGATTAAGTAGATTCGATGCACGGAACTGATTTAGACAATCAGATATAATAGTAGAGGCACATTAAAAAAAAAAAAAAAGAAGGATCACCAATACCAGCAACTACCAACACCAGTACCTACTGACATTTCTCAAGTACTTATGATGAGTGGTCTGACAATGGCTGTAGCAAATGGCTGTACCATGGCTGTCCTCTCCAACCTGTGGTAGTACTCATCTTCCTAAACGAAGGCATGTTTAAAACTGTAACCCAGGACTATTTCTGATTTCAGATGGAAGTCATTTTTTAAACAAATGATGGTGACCAAATCAGACTAGGCTTTATAGTTCACACAAGTGTAACTTAGAAGAACAATAGATATTAGATAAATAAACTCTCAAATAAATATAAAATTATAAAACAAAACATTTTGTGAAAATCAAATAGATAATACTATGAGATGGAAAATTTAAGGGGATGAATTGTATAGTTCAGTGAGAGAAAATGTGTAGTGGTGTGACATTTTTTACTACAGTTCTTCTTCTATCCAGGTCTGTGTAACTTCCACAGAATGATTGAGGTTGGGTGGGGCTATGCAAATAGGGTGTTTGTAACACTAATTGAGGGAGTTGGTGAAGTTTTGTTTCCACACTCCTGGCGACTGGATGAGCCATTTTTTGAAGCAGGAGCTGAGAGAGCCCCAGACAATCTGAAGAAGAATACATTCAAGATTTCTGTATGAAGTGGTGGAGGTCGAGATCAGAGCACTAGACCCTGGGGCACAGAATCTACAGGACAGATCAAAGGAGTCAGGCCATGACCAGAGGCTGAGGCAAGAGACAGAACAGAGTAGCAGCACAGAGACCATGAGATTGTGAAGCAGAGCAGGAGATTGGTTTCTAATCCATGGAGCCAGGGCCAAGGGACCAAAGCACTAAGAGGCTGGGGACAAGAACAGACTTGTTGCTGGCTGAGAAGAGGTGTTGCTGTGGACCAATGATTGCCATCCTTACCACTTACTAATCGTGGCTTATAATAACCTGTTAACTCCCCTAATAAACCCTCATAATGGTGAGTAGTGTCTATGCGTTCTGTGTGGTCATTTCAGTGAATGATTGAACCAAGCATCGAACTAGAATGCCAGAGAGAAATGGCTGGTGTCAGCTTAGAGTAAAAGAAAGACGGATAAAGGAGGCATATCAGACCTCTACTTCATGGCAATAGGGAATCCAGAGGAGGTTGGTCAATTTCATCACCCCACCCCCATGCTGTTTTCTCAAAATTTGTAGATATCTATTCCAAAATATTTCATACTAATCACATTAAAATCATTCAAAGGATGATAAGAACCCATGTGCTCACTAAGTGAAGATATAGGGCATTTAGAAACATCCTTTGTAACATTCCCATACAAAACCCTCTTTCTTCCCCAAATATAGAGATAATCATTCTACTATATTTTTGTGTTGATCATTTCGTTACCTTTTTAAAAATTTTACAGTTATATATGTACCTAAAATATTTAACAGTCTATGCATGAGCTTTGTAGAAATGGAATTAGTATACTACATGTGTTCTTTAACTTCTTTTGCTCAACATCATGTTTAAATGTGTGCAATTTACCTGTCTGATGTCAGTAGGTGTTCCTTACTTTCATTGCTGCACAGTTTTCTATTATAAAAATTGGAGTTATTACTATATTCTGATATTATAGAATATTTGGATTCTTTCAAATCTTTTTCTATTGCATGGAGCCTCCTCTGAGCATCCTTAGTACACATGTACAAAAGTTTATCTAAGCTATATATAATCTGGGAAAATACTGGATAATAAGGAACACACATATCCAAGTTTATTGCATAACCTCAAATTGTGGTCCAAAGTGGCTGCGCCAGTTTCCACACCCACTTGGAAATGAGAATTTTCTTGTCCATAGTAGTTAGTGGTTGATTGTTTTCTTGTGGTTAATTGTGGTTTACTAACAGTTAAAAAATGGTATCTCATTAAAGACATAATTTTATTTATTAATTTATAAAAATGCCATGAGACTTTCGTGAAATGTCGTATGATGTATTTTGTCCATTTTCTGTTTCTAATTGACTCAGGTTTTAGAGATAATATTACAATTTATATTTATTCTATGTATTTCCTGTCAGTTTATAATTTATGTTCTGTGTGTGTGGGGGAGGGGGTGTGAACACGTGCTCACATGGACACTCATAGATTTTTGATAAATGTACCTGTGAAGAACTACCAGCGAGTCAGCCGCCAACACTTGGTGTGCCCGTGTGCAACAGGATCCCGTTGTTGCAGTTCATAGGTTATCATTGATGGATTTGGGGGAATTAGGTTGTCTGTTCTTTCTTTCTTCCGAGTCTACCTTATGTTGGAAGCTCCACAGTAACCTGTCAGGGTCATAGCAACATGCACATCTCCACAAAAAAAGGACATTGGGCACGAGTCACACTCTGCCCTGCTGCCTGGTAACCGAGAACTACACCACCGAACCGTCAGTACTCTTTGATGAACAGAAGTTCTTATTATAAATTAACTAAGTTTATCTATCTATTTCACTGATTTTGCTTTAAAAAAATCTTCCCTATTCTAAATATAGTCTTCACTGTTTTCATATATACATTTTAGCATTTTATAAGAGAATTATAAATCATATTTGAATTTTAGTAAACCTATGAGTATTTTGGTGAATAATATGAGTTGGAATTTTAAACATTTCTTCATGTTTTTAAAATTTATGATCCATAATACTTTCTCAGTTGTAAGTCAGTTTTCCATATGTATTTCAATTGCTTTCCAGGGTACTTGTGCTTTCTCATTTTCCTATCTGTTTTTTTGCATTCATACCACATTGCCTAATTCATATAATATAGTAGTGTCTATATTTGTCAGCTATAGTGCCAGAAGATGAAGCCCTCAGCTTTGAAGACACTTAAAATCTGACTGAGGAAGGGATGCCTCTTCAAAGGGGAGTCAGCCATAATGAGGTGGATGCAGTAAAGCTTTCAAGACCTTCATTTGCTAGGGGACATGACTGGAAGTGAGAAGAAACTATTGTAAACATCTATTAATATTGGACTTTGAAATGTACTAAGTATGAGTCTAGGAAATTGGAAATTGTCAAAAATGAAATGGACCTAACAAAAATAAATATCCTAGGTATGATTGAGCTGAAATGGGCTAGTAGTGATCATTTAGAACCAGACAATTATATAATATACTACGTTGGGAATGACAAATTCAAGAGGAATGACATAGCATTCATCATCAGAAAGTCGTTTCAAGATCTACCTTGAAGTACAAGGCTATCTGTGATAGGGGAATGTCTGCATACAAGGAAATCAAATCAATACAACTATTCAAAAATGTACACCCACCACTAAAGTTATCGATGAAAAAAATTGAAAAACTCTACCAATGTCTTCCATCTGAAATTGATCAAACTTTTAATCAAGATTCATTGATAATTATTGGCATTTGGGATAACTATTGGTGAAACTTGGAAACTAAAAGGAAGGAGCAGCATTTGCAAAATATGGCTTCAGTGATAGAAATGAAGCTGGAGCTAGAAATGAAGCTGTTTGCAAAGCCAACAACTTCACTGAAATAGTTACTTTTGACAACATAAATGATGATAATGTACATATATATATATATATATATATATATATATATATATATATACATATGTTATGTATATATAGCACGTATATGTGAACTTCTCCAGAGAGAATACACAGAAATCAAACTGACTACACCTGTGGGAAGAAATGATGAAGAAGATCAATGTTAGCAGCCAAAATAAGGCCAGGGGCTGATGGTCTAACACAAAATTAATTGATCCTCTAGAAGTTCGGGTTGAAGTTGAAGAAAATTAAGTCTACAAGAGCCAAAAGACCTTGAGTAAAAGAAATCAATAATAAAAAAAGATCTTGAGTATGTTCCAACTGAATTTTGAAAACATCTCCAGAACAGGTCACTGCACAAACACTAACATCAGAAGACCTGAAACACGATGTGAAGACCTCAAGAACATTGTACATGAAGAAAGTAAAAGGGCTTTAAAATTATAAGAAAAAAGGAAAGATCAAAGTGGATGTCAAAAGAGACTCTGAAACTTGCTCTTGATTGTAGAGTAGCCAAAGTAAATGGAAGCAATGCTGAAATAAAAGAGTTGAACATACAACTTAAAAGGGCAGATCAAAAAGACAATGAAATATGCAGAGACCTGGAGTTAGAGACTCCAGGACAGGCTCGGCATATATCAAGCTGAAAGAACCGAAGAAAAAAATTAAGCCACAAGTTGCAATATTGAAGGATTCTATAGGCAAAATATAGAACTATGCAGGAAGCATCAAAGAAAATGGAAAGACTATAGAGTCACTATATCAAAAAGGACTATATATTTTTATTAGTTTATTTACACTTCAGTAGCTTTATTGATTTTTTTTTAAGTTAAGACATTATTCATGATATTTTTCTGCTTCTAGAAGTCCCTTCTCCCTGGAAGTACTTGGACATTCTTGATCTTTTGAACATTCTTAGGATTTCATTCATTAATAGTAGCTACACTGGTGCTTCCTGCACATCTGAGAGAATTGGCTGCTAATATCTCATAGGCAAATTCTTCTTCCTTCCTGTGCTTAGAGAAGCCAACATATCATGACTAGTTGAGGAAAAACAAAGAGATAATTTCTTCATTCTCAAGAGAGGAATAGCATGCAGTTGGATATGTTACTGGATATGTACTGAGTGGTGTGATTGATCCCAATTACAAAGGAGAAATTGGACTGGTACTACATAATGGAGGTAAAGAAGAATATGTCTGGAATCCAGGAGATCCCATAGGTCGACTCAGTGCTACCATGCCCTGTGATTAAAGTAAATGGTAAGTTACAGCAGCCCAATCCTGACAGGACGTCTAATGACCCAAACCCCTCAGGAGTGAAGGTCTGGGTCACCTCACTTGCAGTACCATAATGTGTTAGTCTGGGTAAACTAGAGAAACAAATCCATGGACACACATATGTGTATAAGAAAGAGATTTATATATAAGAGGAAATGAACATTGAGAAAACATCCCAACCCAGGCCAGTCTAAGGCTGTAAGTCATATTAGCCCATATGTCCGATACCAATCTATAAAGTCGTCTTCAGACTCACGAAACACATGCAATGAAGCCAAATGCAGGACATCACAACCCAGTGGGGTAGAAAGTCTTTGGGTCCAGTGGTGTTGTACGCATCTCAGTGCTGGGCTGGCAAGGGTCTCTCTGTGGCTTCTCCAGCTTCTGAGATCTGGTTGTGTCCATGTGACTTGTCTTCTGCAATGTCTCCCAGGGAGTAGCAGAGAGA